TGAATGGAAAATGACCTGAAATCTAAAGCAGACTTTTCTCTGGATCCTGAGTTGAAGGGGTAGGTAATATTCCTGTTTAAAGGAAAAATTTATTCCACAGAATTAAACACTCTTCTAAGGTGTTTGTCCACTCCTGTAACTTGGAAGTCTTGACAAATATTTAAAGAACAGGAAAATGGAAGATGGATTAGGAACCTGTTCTTCTGTTTCACGCACTGGAAATCTAAACAAGCTGAACAGATGACGTTTTTCTGAGTTTGTTGAGCAATTCCTCTTGCATGTTGTTTATGCCTAGAAATGCATCTGTGCAAGGAATCTCTCTTTCTTATATTCCCATTCAAAGTCCTTTGGTGTGAGACAGGATATGAATAAATTTAACTCTAAATGCCCTATACATGATTTTTAAAAGAAATACATCTCAGCAATGCCTTATGCGTAATGTGTTTACTGTGCCTTCTGTGTCCTGAGGCACAGAAAGTTTTCTACCATGAAGATTTTGCTCCATCTCCCAAGTACTCCCTACTATGACAAACTACAGAGTGGTTCTGATTTAAAATTGCATTGCAGGATTGTGGGTTTGGTGCTTTCAGTTACTGAAACGATGAACATGAACAATGTTAAATTTACGCTTCCAGTAGCCGAAACTGTCTCTGCTCTTTTCTCGCACCGTGTTTGCCGTGCCCACATGCCCATGAGAGCGGGAACACAGTGTGTGTGCACCGACCGACGCACGCAAGGACTGACAGACACAGGCGCCGAGCCGACTCTGCCATCCTTGGCCGACACCTGCATCTGTATCTGTATCATCTGTGTTATAAATTGTTATAAATTATCAAATCGGGGGCCAAATTTATAAGAAAATTTAGCAATGATTTATTAGATTGTCAGCAAAACAGAATTTCGAAAAACAACTACCGCAGCCAAGAGTCAGCGTCGAGCCCGGGTTTCGGTGCTGGGTGAACAAATGGACCCGACCCCTGAATGTCAGAGTCTCCCCCTGTTCACCCCGAGCTTATATACAGTTTATTCTGCCTGGGGCAGAAATGGCTGAGTGTTTCTTTGTGTCCCTTCACATGCAGAACTGGGGCCATACATGTACAGGGTTAGACAAAAGTCCAGTTCCAGGTGTCCAGATGATGTCAGAGCACTCCGGAGAAGTTGGCATTCACGTGTAAAGGGTGGTGCCGGTAGTAGATGCAATCTTTGAAGTGCAGATCACTCTTGAGTGCCCCGGACATTCCAGGGAAGTCAGTGATCATGGCCCAGGAAGGTTCCATTCATACATTAACAGACTTGATATTATCTTAATGTTGTCCAGGAACTACCTGAATAAAAATAAGACTCTGCTCCCGGCCAGGGTGGTCAAAAGTCATAGCTTAGATTTTACAATGGTTTATACATAAATGGCATGAATTATCTCTATCATATACTACATAAATGATCAATCGTGAGCCAAATTATCAAAAATTGCGAAAAGATTTATTAATCTTTCTGCACGACTGAATTAAGGTCTTTGAAACCACCACAGCCAAAGAGACAGCGTGAAGCCTGGTATCGGTGCTGGGTGAACCTGGATCTGACCTCTAAAGCATCGGACACTACCCAGTTCACGAGAGCCACTTCTTGCAGCGAGGTTTTATACAGTTCATTGTGCCCGAGGCAAAGGAGTTCCAATTTCTTTTGTAACTCTTCACATTCATAGCTGTTTCTTTCAGTGTGCAGAGCTGGACAAAGATCGTCTCCAGGTGGATAGTCAGCGTTGATGGGCTCCGGGGAAGCCGTGTGTTCAGATGTATAGTTCTGGCGTTGCTGGCTATCTTGATTGATGTAATCTGCAGGGCGATGATCGCTCTGAGGCGGTTTCCGACGACTCGAGATACCGGTGATCATCGCCCTGGAAGCGTCTATTCTTACGCTAAAGCGTCGATCCTTATCTTGGCCGTGTCCAGGAATTCTTTGGAATCTGAATAGACATCTGCTCTCGGGCCGTATGTGGTCAGAGACACGTTTGGGAGTTTACAATCTTTATAACATACACTCTTTAATAGCATGAATTACTTCTAACGTATATTGCATCTGTATCTGTATCTGTACCTGTACCTGTATCTGTCTGTACCTGTATCTGTATCTGTATCTGTACCTGTATCTGTATCTGTACCTGTGTCTGTACCTGTATCTGTACCTGTATCTGTATCTGTATCTGTAATCCCCATGATAAGGTGCTCCTGAAGGCCCGTGCCCTTGGCAGCAGCTCTCCCGAGCCCCGGGCTGCACCCCCATCGCTCCCGGCCTCACCGTCGCAGCCGCTCGCCGGATCGCGGCGCTTCCCGCAGCCTCCCCGGCGCGCAGGGAGTTAACGGGGCCCGGGGCGGGGCGATGCCGCCGCTGGCGGGATGAGGCTCGGCCGGGATTCCCGCAGCCCGCCCGGGAACAGCGAGCCGCTCTCCTCGTTTCCCAGCGGCGGATCCCGCTGCCCCGGTGAGAAGCGCGTCCCGCCGTGCGCCCCGGCAGCCGCGGCCCGCTCCCGGGCGGATGGTGGGATGCCCGCCGTGTCTCCCATCCCCGGACGGCGGGGCGGAGGGTGGGCAGGGAAGCGGGGGCGGGCGTGGGTCCGGGCGAGCGCTCCTTTCGGCCGGCGGATGGAGCCGCTTGCTCGGTCTGCGGAGCCGGGGGAGCGCCCCGCCAGCAGCGAGGAGACCGGCGGGGTAAAATCGATTTTGCAGCTTTTCCTGATGATGGACGAACACTGAACAAGGGCTTTTCCGGCTGAAACCATTGGCTGTGGGCTTCCTTCAAAAATGAGGGGTGGCGGGGGGAAATGAGACGTGGCAGTTATAGTGGATTCTGCGTGGGTTTAAAGCACCAGTCTGAGGATTTCGATGCGTAGATGAGATATTAGGAAGAAATCTTTAACTCACTGTCTCGCTGAGTACGGTGAGACACTGAAACACGTTGCCCAGGTAAGTTGTGGATGCCCCATCCCTGGCAGTGTTCAAGGACAGGCTAGATGAAGCTCTGAGCAATCTGGTCTAGTGAAAAGTGCTCCTGCCCATGGCAGAAGGGGTGGAACCAGGTGATCTTTAGGGTTCCTTCCAACCCAAACCATTCTAGGATGTGCGCACACCTTAACACAGGCTTTGTCCATTCTTTATCTGAGCCCTGCTTGGAGCACATTATTGTTGAGCATCAGTTTTAACTTTGACTGGAGAAGACTGCTGAAACTTTTGACATGTCTGTAAAAATTTCCATTTGGTTAGACAGCGTGAGAGTTTTGTGGTTTTACATTAACTGGTAGCTTGTCAACAACTACCTGACTGCTGTCAGGGTCTGCCCTGGGAAAGCTGCTTTGTGCTCGCTCCGTCCTTCAATTCCTGCCAAGGCACCTTCAGCTGGGTGCTCTTGAGGGGGTAGGCTGGACCTTTGGACTGTCAGAACTTTGTTCTCAGCTTTTTGAAGTGTATTCACTTGTGTGCCTGTGTACCTTGTGTACCCGTGTCAAGTGTACCTGTGATTACTTAGGGGATCAGAACCCAGAACAATTAAAAATCTTGTGGATGCTTAATACTGTGAACAAGAGGTGGATGAATATCCTTGGTTTATTTGCAGCCATTTTTCTTCTTGCTACATAAAAATCACTTTCCTGTTTCTTCTTCCTAGCTTCTAACTCCTCTTTATCAGGACTCGTGGCACTGTAGGAAGAAATGTGTATTTCTCCTGTGATGTGTGTGGTATGTGGTGTTGCCCAGTAGTAGCTGACTATACTTCATACCACCATAAGGAAGTGTTGTTGATTATAAATGCAACTTTTATACTTCCCCTCCTTGATCATAGATGGTTGCATACTTTTAGTATGCCTAATACCTGCAAATTTGGGTCTACTTAATAAAGGCTGATATTTTCAATGATGAAAACTAATTGTCCTTATACATTTTAATACATTTCCATTATTCAGTGGCTTTTAACCGGTAGGTCTCTTGTTCATTTTGTTAGGTTGGGCACACTTCATTAGGAAGTCACATATTATGTAATTCTGTTGCAAGATCAGTTTTTTCCTGTTTCCTTGTGGTGTAATCCTGGGGTTTTTAAGGATTACAGTCCTGTCTCTGTTATAATCTCTGTGCTGTCAGGCCCTTCTTAATGGAGGGTAGAGCAAAATGTTATGATTCAATACTTCCCATAAGGCATTCCCAGAAAGTACCAACTTCAGCACGTAGCCTTAGTCACTTCTGAAAATAATAACAAATTAATCATCCTATAATTATAATTCTGTCCTCGGACCAGCATGAAAGCCTCAGTGATACATTTGTCTGTTTAAATGTAAAGAAGAATGCAGCAGGGAGAAGGTTTTGCATATAGGTTAAGGTAATGGATCAGAAAAGAAGGTATTCAGGATAGATGATAAGGTGAGAGCTGTGGCTTTTTGAAGCTGTGTTTTAGTTTCATACTCCTTGCTTTATACTGGGGAAAGAAGTGCTCTTAAGGTCAGTAGGAGGAGTTTAATGAGGAGGATATTATGAGTAAGATGCTGCCTGGGCTTGGGTTTCAGGCGTCCGCCAGGTAAAGCTGAGCTTTGGAGACCTGGAGCCAGAGGTGGAAGGAGAGTGAAGCTGGTTCAGCAGTCACTGTTGTTGGCAGGTGTGGAGGAAAGAGAGTGAGTGAGTTAGCAATGAGATTTGCCTCTCTGTGGCTGGTGAATCTGCAGCTGCTCACCCCACAGAACAGAGGTAGTGGTGAGGTGGGGGTTGCAATAGCAAGGGATTAATTTAGGCTTGGGGGTTTGAAAGTGGTGATGCTCAGCTGTAAAAATTGTAGATGATAATTTTGCTCCTTTTGCTCCAGTTATAAAAGCTGGAGTGTGGCTGGATTATTTGGGGAATTTAACATTCATGGTAGTTATCATCAATACAAGGTTTCTTTCTTTGTTAGTGCTTCCAGCTTTACGGATGGGACTATTCTGATGCACTTATATATATACATTTTTTTTAAAAATATAATTCTAGGTATAAGACATCCATGGCTCCTGGTTCCTCAAATGAGAAGAAAACTGATGATGGACAGGCTTCAAAGTAAGATTGAAAAATTATTATTTTGTCCAAGTTTACACTTAAACTTCCTCCCCAAACTCATTACACGCTCATTTAGTTTAAGATAAATTTTATGATACTAGTGCCAAGTATCCGGTAGCAGGTCTTTTGACAATTGGATGCTTTATTGCTTTACCACACCTATACAGAGGACTTTGCTGGTGAGCCATTTGAACTTCTCTCAACAGTGAATACTTCAAAGCAGGGCGATGTTTTCATTTATTTTTATTTTAATCCAATGAGCTGCTGAAATGTTGATTTTGGCTGCTGCTTCAAGAGTTCAAACAAATATTTCAATGTGTTTCTCTAATCCTTACTTTAAGCTTATTTTACTAAAATCTGCTACATGCTTCTTTTGTCTTTGGATTTGTGTTTTACTTACACCCTTAGAAGTTGTAGGTGCTTTACAACAGATTTAGGGAAATGAATTTTCTGCTCCTGAGCTTTGCATGCCAAGGATTTTTATCAAGCAAACTTGGATTATCAAATCCATGGCATTGATCCTATGTACACATATCAATATGCTAGTTTTTATTTCTCATTTTACCCCAGGGTCCAAGTCTGCAATCAGATGTGTGGATAAGCTGAGCAAGTTGGTGACAGCCCCTCACTGTGTTGAGGCTGTGGGTCAGAGAATGCTACTGGTGGGCTGTGAGATGAAAAAATGGAATATAGCTACTGATGAGGAAGGAGGTTGTGCTTTGGCCAGGCATGAGAACAGTGGTGTTGACACATATCTCATTAATTTCCTTGAACTTTTATTAGAGGCCTTGCTTTTCCCTGATTTATTTCCTGGAGAGAGGCTTTTATTGCCACTGTTAATAAAAAAAAAAATTTTTTTTTTTTCAAATCATAGCCTATCCTATTTGTATGTGACAACCATTCCAATGGACATCAGCACAGCCAGATACTGGATCTGCATTAGTGAGTGGCCCAGTAAATAAATGTAGAGAGTCCCACAAAACTGAACAGGAATAATTCAGGGGAGGCAGCCTAGAAATTCTGCTAATATGAGCTGGTGAATTCCTAGGTTGTCTGTGTCTTCATGACAAGCCATAAACTTGCTCTTTAGTTCTCCCCGAGTCAAACAGGTCTCTTGGAAGGAAGAACAAAGGCAGCCAAAGCCTTTGGTTCCACTTCAGGCAGGATTTGTATGAAGAGAGGCAAATGGAGACCATGGGCGATGGAAGGGAATTCCTACTGAAGGGTGAATGGACTGGCTGCCTGGGTGGGCAGCTCTTTCTGTTGCTGAGGGTGATTGTCTGTGGTGGGCAGGGACAGGTAGGGTGGATTGGGATGGCACTTCTTTCCTTGGTTGTGCAGCTGCTACTGGATAATTAATGATGCTGGAGAGAGATCATCAGGAACAGAAGAAATTGCTGTACTCAGAATATCTGGGTTGGAACTGTTTGGTTCTGAGGAACAGTTCAGTGACCTCAGCACAGGCATCTTGGCAAATGTAGACTTCCTTCATCCTGCATAGGTAGATGAGGCATAGGAAGTAACGGAAAGCATAGGTCCTTTCTGCCTTATCTCCTTTCTGGAGAGGCATTAGAAGGCAGATAACTTTGTGACCTAGACCATCTAAAATAGTGCTAAACACCTCTGTTTAAGCTTCAGAGTTGTTCCTAAGTTGTCCTAATGATTTTTTGAATGAAGTCCAGGTGAAGTCTTTTGTTTGTCTCCTCTGACAAAGCAGTTTGAATTTGCTGAGCCATGCTGTGCCTCCACTGAGCCTTCATTAAAATATTAAGTCATCTTCTTGTGTCTGGAAGCTATTTACTACTTGATTCCATCTCTCAGAAATTACTTTGAAGTACTGGCCAGTGTTCTGCTTAAGCTTGTTGACTAGTCTTTCATACCTGTTTCAATTCAACTTCAAACATCAAGCACAGAAAGCAGACATTTTATAAATCATTCAGCTTGTTTAGTTAGTCCACTATTGAATTTTCCATGAATGTGATCCCACAGGCCAAGTAGTTCAGGTTTCCCTCCTTGTCCTGTCATTTGCTGTCTCTTCAGGGAGATTAATTTTTATTTTTCTTTTAAGATGTGTCATTTCTTTACAAGAGGCACTTAGGAAGAAGTGAATTATTTTTACCTCTTCCTCTGTTTTCCTTTTTCTTGAATATTTTTTTTCACTGCTATGGTTTTCTCCTTGCTTCAGGTCTCCACTTTTCTCTTCTGTTTTTCAGATCCTCTGTACCCTTGTTATCAGTTTCATGCCATAGGGTTTTTTTTCTCCTGTCTGTATGACAGAGTAAGACGAAGTGCCAGAAATCTAGTTTGTGCTTGTCCATAAAGCCGAAATCATCCTGTCCTTCTCAGGTGGCTGACAGAGTTTCAGTCAAAACAGAGGTCAAGCTTTGCTTCTCAGCTTTGCTATAGATTGCGTGTATAATATGGTGGGCTATTGACCATTCCCTGGTCCTGCTCCCATTGCTCTGCTCACCATAAATACGCACTATGGTACCCAACTTTAATACTATTTAAGAAAATAAGATAAAAATTAGATAAAGATTGCACTGTTGCAAATGCATCTGGACATCTGGGCTTTTCTATAGCAATTTCATCCTGTGTTTCTGGATTTAGGGTTTCTTTAACACAATGCACAAGGAAAAAATATAAAATAATTTGTATGTGTGGCATTTCCCAACTTTTGACTGCTTGACTTTGAATAATTGTCATTTGTTCAATGTTTGTATATATTCTATATATATTTATATATAGTCTATATGTTTTATAATGCTGCTCTTTTGGTAGAGAGAATTTTATTCATCTCTGCAACCCTCACCTGGAGAAAATGAAAGAAGACATCCTGTACCATTTTGCTCTTGGGACCGGTACCCATGATTTTCCAACATTGTTTGGCGATGTAAAGGTGAGATGCTTTGCTTTGTTCAGCAAGCCTGAGCTTTTCTGCTGAAGGTGAAATTGTAGCTGCCTTCAGAAGAAGACTAAATGTGTCAGCCTACCAGGAATATAGAAGGGGAAAAATTTTGTGGGTTCTTGTCACTTTGCTATCCAACAAAGCTGAGGGTAATTGTTTTTGACTATCTCTTTTCATGCAGCAAAAAGGCAAATGTTGTAGGGTCTATTCAGATACCACTTTTGTTTGTTGGGTCTTCAGATCAATATTTGTCTTTTATTAGTTTAAACAGGGTGAAAGCATTTGAGTCCTGTAGACAGCTGAGTTTTTTCCCATAATTCTTCTTCATGGCATTTTAGAATGATTAAGAGGAGTGCCATATCTGGGGATAAATCTGTGCTAACTGAAGGCGTTTGCATACTCACATTGTTCTTTGCATGTTCTTTGACATGCGGAATCACGCAACTGACTTTGTTTTGTTGAACCCTGTCCACCCCAGTTTGTGTGTGTTGGAGGAAGCCCTTCCAGGATGAAAGCTTTCATTGCCTACATAGCAGAGGAGCTGGGGCTCGGGAGCCCCGGGTGTGACTACCCCAACATCTGTGCGGGCACCGACCGCTACGCCATGTACAAAGTGGGGCCCGTGCTGTCCGTCAGCGTAAGTGCCTCCCTCCTCTGACATGGGACATGCTTCAGCTTTGATGCTGTTCAAAGCAGAAAATTTGAATGCATGTTTCTTTTAAATATTTCACAGTCCTAAACAGTCTGCTCAAAATAGTGCAGTCAGCTAATTAAGCTAATTCTTTTTAGCCATTTTCTTAAAAAGGTAAAATCTCTAATACCTTTGCTCCTTCTTCCATCCCTCTTTCCTCAGTGTACCACTGAGGTGTTACAAGAGTGGCCTCACATATTTTTTGAGCAGTTATTGTTGTCTCATCCTTATTCTGTACCCTGAAGTGGGGGAAAAAAGTCACTTGGTGCATGTGGAGTTTTGGAAAAATGTCTGTACCACACTCACATCTATGTATCTACAATGGCACTGTCATATGTGCTTAAGTGTAGCATTCCATGGGACTGGTGCTGCCAACCCAGGTATGCATTTTAAAGAAATTCATAGCTTCAATTTGTAGGTAGAATTACATGCTTCAATTGCAATTGCAAAACTGTAGTATTATTTTGCACCCTTTCTTGTAAGCTGTAATTATCAGAATATTGTGCAAGCTAATGTGGATTTATATTTGCTGAATGTCAAGACTAAACCGTGGTGTCTGTGTTTTGAAGAAAATTAGCTTAACTATTCACTAGCACTTCAGGTTGGTGGAAAATCAGAGTGGGCTTTTTCTTGTGTTTAGGAAATGCTCCGTAATGAAGTGCTTTTGTCAGCTATTGGGAAAGGACACTCTATACTTGTGAGAATGTAAATGTTCTGTAATTCATGATTTTTGGAAATACTGTATTTCATCCACAGTCTGCCAAAGCTAGCAGGAGTCTATTTGTAGGCCCTTTCAGTATCCTTCTGTAGACCCAGAGGCTGGGGTTTTTTTGGGAGTAAGTTAGGTGGTATTTGGGAAAACAGCATCAGGCAGGAGATAATGTCCAGCTGTTTCTTTCATATATATTTTGTGTTGTGTATGTGAATGTGGAATATTAATTTGTGTTTCCTTTTCAGCACGGCATGGGCATTCCTTCTATTTCAATCATGTTGCACGAGCTGATCAAACTGTTGTATCATGCCAAGTGTTCCGACATAACCATCATTCGCATCGGCACCTCTGGTGGAATAGGTATTTCCCCTCTTGATTTTTCTCTTCCTTTCTGCAAACCACAGTGTCTTTGCAGGAGAGTAAAGCATCTCTCTGCATGTAAGATACTAATGGTCAGAACAGTTTTCCACAAGAGATGCATCATTTTTCTTTGGTAATTTTGAAAGTAAAGGCAATATCTGCTTTTGCATAGGGGAAATGCACTTAAAGATCTGACAATGTCGGAAGAAGGACATTCCTGTCCTGTATGGAAAATATAAGAAATAAGTGAAAAAGGAAAAAATTCATTATTTCAGAAATTATTCGTAATAATAAACTGAAGCAGCTAGTCATGGACAAAAAATTCTCTTGGTGGATTCAGAGGCAAAATCCCTACCTTTAACATAAGCAGGGTTGGGTCAAGATGTATGTTTTATGGGTCTGGAAACCACTAGTTAACTGCATTGCGAAGGGATATCTATTTCCTTTTGCTGCAGGTCTGGAGCCAGGCTCAGTGGTTATAACTAGGCAGTCTGTAGATGCCACCTTCAAGCCTCAGCTGGAACAGGTTGTTCTGGGAAAGACAGTAGTTCGCAGCACCAACCTGGATGAACAGCTGGCTCAGGAGCTGATGCAGTGCAGTAAAGAAATTGGTCAGTTCAATACAGTCATTGGAAACACCATGTGCACTTTGGATTTTTATGAAGGTAAGCCTGGTGATAGACTAAGAGAGGAATATTGGTAAGCAGCAATAGATAAATATTGAATAATATATAACATTAAGCTTCCAGTTCACTAACAGAATGTGTTCCCTACTCTGGCTTGTCTCACAAATCTCAATTAACCTATTTTTTCATCTGCGTAAAATCAAGCATTGTACTTAGCAGTTGGCTGCATAAAACTTTTGATTTTGTGGAGATTTCTCCCCAGCTTTAATAGATCCTCTGAAGTACATATAGTCTACTATACACTTCTCATGTACCTGTCAGGTATATTTGTCACAAAATTTTGTAATTTATTGAAGCATTTTTGGGGATTAGAGGAGTGGGAATTGTGACTTGTTTAGGGTTGGTGACTTGTTTAGGGTAGGTTTTCTTTGCACTGGTTAAGTACCTAAAGCGAATATTTTATGAAAAAAGAGTTGGAACTTGTTTTAGTTTGAGCAAAGCAGTGATCAGACAACCAAGATAAGTTGCTGAGTTGTGTCAGTGCAGCTATGTAGGAGACACAAACGGACAAGGCCTGTTTTGGATAAACATACAGGCATTCAGGTGCTTTTCTGATCTCCCAAACCTAGATGTTCACTCAGAAACCTTGTGAGAACAGACTGTAAGTGGCACCTCATCCCACTTTCTCTGTCTGTTGCTGAGTAGGTGACAAATGATCTTCATGGTAGTGCTCCAGCTTGGGCAGAAGCACGCAGTGTAAGTTTGTGTATCTCAGGCACCAGCCACAGGTGCAAGCAACACTAGAAAAAGTGTCAGGGATGTTTTCAACTCATACAGCAAAAGCTGAGAACAGGATTGAGGACGTTAATTTGCATCTTCCAAACCCAAGAAGAGACTGAGTAAAATACAGTGTATTTCAAGTCTACTGCACTTAGCCTGCTGCTGTCTTGTCTGTAGGTGATGTTCTTGAATAATTTGAGTAAATATTTTTCTCAAAATTTTCAACAGTATTAGCTAGTTAGCTTAAGAGACTCTACATCTCTTACTTTGGAAAGTCTGTAAGTAATAAAATGTTCATCCTTTTAAGGTAGAAACAGGACAGCATCTTTAAGCCTGGTGGTTTTATTAGACAGCGATTAAACATTAAAAATGCAGCTCTTTCATAAAACTTAAAATTTCTGGTGGAATTTTGGTACTTGTACGTGTGGGAATGTACAACATACATTTTCCTGTTTGTGAATTTGAGAATTGAAGATGAAGAAGACTAATTAAGTTACCATGATTCACCAATTACCACTAAGTTACCATGATTATAAAGAATACAAATAATATGTATACGCTCTAGCAATAGCTAAGAATCACTTTGCTCTATTTGTCTTATGCACAAAAATAAAGTAGTAGTAAAAGCTGAGCACTGTATGGAGGAGACTGTAATAGCTGGGTGTTTTCAAAATTGAGTTTGGTCTGTGATTTCATCACTCTGAAATTACATTCTAGGACAGGGCAGGTTGGATGGTGCAATCTGCTTATATGATGAAGAAGAAAAGCTGCAATATTTGAAGAATGCTTATGAGTCTGGTGTGAGAAACATTGAGATGGAGTCTTCTGTATTTGCTGCAATGTGTAATCTCAGTGGTGTCAAAGGTAAACTAACTTAGTCACTTTATCCTAGCTAAAGGAAATTTTCTGTATTGCAGGGGGATTGTGGCTAAAAACTGCAAAGGACTGTTTCCATACCTTCTGCACATATACGTATATATAAAAGATATTTCTGCTTATAGTTTTGTTGCTATCTTTTTTTTTATTTGAGTCAGTTTTGTCACAACTTATAATTCCTCATGCAGTTTTTACACAGTTTACTTCTGTCATTTGCTATTTCAGCCCATGGCAACCATGTAAATCATTAAAGTACCTAATTATCCTATGCCATTCATTTATTTTCTCCAGTTAGCTTTTGAAGTTTACAGAAAGCAACTGCTTAGTTCAAGCAATCAGGTGTTTCTCAGATCTGTATATATGTAACTATACTCAGTTTCTATACTTTCATATCAAATGGAACACATAATTATTTTCTGTAGACTTAAGACTATGATTCTTAAACAGTTGAAGATTTTTAGTAGTGTCATGAATAAACCATTCCAAATCATAAAATGAGTTAAATTTTTTTAATGCATGCTAAATAAAAAAGGGAAATTAAAAATATAATACAGTATCTTTCTTCTTACCATATTAACTGTCTTCTCTCACTTTCCTTAGCAAGGAATATGCTGATTTAAAACTCTGGTGTTTCTCAAACTCCTTTAAGATTGAGGAAGTCAAAATGATGAAATATAAGCAAAAAAGCCAATGGTTATATCAAATACACTGAGTTCTTACTGGCTTGAAAGGGATTAAAAACTCAGCCAGTACTATCCCTGAGCAATTCAGGAGGCCTTTGGCTGTCTCTGCTTTGTAGGTCTCTAATATGTATTTACTGTTGGTGCTCTGCAAATTGCCACTGGCGGAAACACCAGACAGAGCAGAGTTATAGGGTTGGGTGACAGACCTGAGCTTGAGTGAAAGGAGGGGTTTTGCCTTTGGGGCTCTGATGGCTGAAATGCAGCACATGGACCTGAGATGATCCTTGGGGTCCTCATGTGCTTGCAGTGTTCCCTGTCCATGAATGTGGAGACAGCTTATCTGCTGCTTCCTGAGGGATGGCACTACAGCACAGGCACTCAGGGCAGGACTGTGGCTCTGCTAGAACCTTGTGCCAGGCACTTCCTACCAGGCATGTCCTGGGTACTTGTGAAGTGTACTTCCTGTCAAGGAAAACACAGGAATCATGATATAACAATAAGTGTCTGCAGCTGCCTGAGAGCTCTGGCTTTATTAGTGTAGCAAGCAGTTCCCTTAAACTATTTCTACCTTGTGTCATGCACAGCATGCTAGTTCCCTAGCATCTCATGGTATACTGCACACTCTTTTTTGGGGTTTGTTTTCTCTTGTATTTCTGTTCTTTAAATTGTTTGTTCAAATGTTTATGCTTTTGGACTGTAAAACGTAAGAGTGTCATTCCTAACTAACGCTGTCTTTTCATTTCTAGCTGCTGTAGTGTGTGTCACTCTTCTGAACCGACTCGAGGGGGATCAAATCAGCAGCCCACACGATGTCCTGGTGGAGTACCAGCAGAGGCCGCAGAAGTTAGTGGGATATTTCATTAAGAAAAGTCTTGGGAAAGTATGAAATATCCATCTCATGTTTTAGAGAAGGAGAAGGCCCTTGTACAGTTCTGGTCACAGTTATGACTTCTGTGCATTGCAGGTCTTTTGCCTCAGAGTAACTCACAGCATTCCGTGTGTCAGTGGAAGTTAATCATTTATGTCACTGCTCTTTGGGAACTGAATGTGCTGAAGGACTTCACTTAAGGTTTGCTTAGTTATGCATTGCTGGATAGAAAACTCACTTTTCTGAGAATTGGAAAGGAGATCTGTTGTGAAGGACAAGGCTGTGATAATACATAACAAAACTATTTAACTCTGCTGTAAAGGAAAAACTAGAGAGAAAATCAAACTTTATGGCCAAGTACATGCATACCAGCAAATGAACTTAAAAATTTGAATAATTTTCTTGTTCTTATAAAAACTTATATAAGTTATAGTTGTCTTTGTTGCTTCACTTGTAAATAAAACTTAAAGTGAATGCAGTTTATTTTTTTTTGCAGAATTTGACAAATAAACAGTACTATTTTCATATATTAAAATTTCATGAAATTGCAAAGTGTGGGACTGAAGTTTCTAAGCATTAAGGACTTGACACTGAGCTGTTGAATAGCTGTACTGCCTCAATATCAATCCAGCAATATTTTAACTAAAGAATTGAATCAATACCCAGGAAATATTTATGCATTAAGTAATTTTGCATTAAGGTACTAGTAATCTTGTGCTGAAACAAGACTCCTGCTTATGAAGAGGAACCGAAGGCATTCAGGAGATGCACAGCATGTTCATAAGCCTATATTGTGGTAGCCCTTTTCTTTTCTTCTTTTCTTGCTTTTACTTTGTTTCTTTTTTTTTTTAACTGATATTCATCTCCATTCTCAGGATGTAACACTGACTGTTGGAATGGTTCCCAGTTTTTCTGAAGAACTGGAGTATACCTCTTAGTGGTACATGCCATCAAAACCCCTTCTGCAATTGCAGTTTTTTCCACTAACATTGGCCTAAGTGTTTGGGATTTTTTTTTTTAATAATACTCCTTGCAGCTTTGCTGCTGTGGTTTGAATGTAAGTACCTGGTCATTTAAAGAAAATGTGTTTATCTTCTCTTCTTTTTTTTTCTTTTATTCTTTTTTATTTTCCTTCTTTCTACTGCAGTGAGGGAGGGTCCAATCCTAGCAGGGGTCATGGATCAAAAAGTCTGGATAAGCTCTCAGAACAGCTGTGGCTGACCCAGAAAAATGAAATATTTTTAATGAGGATTGCAGTCTGCACTGCTGTTAACAAGCACAAGAGTTAGAACTGTAAGAGAGGGATGTTAGTAGTAGGCACAGTCACCAAGTGACAGAGACTGGAAACAATGTGATGAAAACATTAAAAAAAGAAGGGTGACTCATGAACAGGAAATTGTCAATGAGTATCAGTCTCCCTAAATTTGATGAGTCTTTAAGCTGGAAAACATATTAGTAACTTTTACAAAGTTACAATCTAGTCTTCTGTTAATTTTAAAGCCACATTTTCTTATTTATGATCAGGATATACAGTGAAGGTAATTTTTCAGAGAAAATCTTTTTTTCCCTAAGCTTAAGGCAAGGAGAGAAGTGGGAATGGCTCCACATTTTGTTTGAACAGTTTCTCCTTTATTAAAAAAAAAAAAAGAATTAAAAAAATTCTGTGCTTAACTATTCCTGGTGCTTGCCTAGGCATTGTGTGAAGTCTGTGAGGCCCTTTGGGAAACATGCAACAAAGCACATCTTTTCTCTTCAAGGTCCTGTTCTCAAAACAGCAACAAGGAGATAAAAAAAAGACCACGTCAGTGCATGCTGCACTTTATGATGAAGGAAGTCTTACACCAGATTGACTGGAATGGGTTTGGATGAGACAGCTTTCTGTTGTATAAGAAATTCTTAATAAGAAGTACCTAAAGAGACAAAAAAAAAATGCTTTACCTAGAAAACAAACACTTAATGTCACTCTGTGAAGCTCTGGGGAAGCATGTTACTACAGTTGTCCTGGAGGTATGAATCTAAAATGATGTGATCTGTCTTTTTAAAGGAAGGATAGAGTGAACCTGGAAAATTGTTAAAAAGAATTATTTTAATAGTGTGTGCTGTCAAATGAAACCAAAAAAGTTTTTGTATTTACAGTCAAATAATGTAGGTGCTTCTATTCTGAGAACTCATATGAAAACTCTTATGTACTGTCTGCTAAAATACAAATGGTCTTGTGGCCTGGCCAAGCTGGAGAGAAGGGTCATGCATTCATGGGCTGAGGCAACTATTGTATTAAATCAATAGCCAAGACCCTGGCAGAAGCCTCTGAAAGATGAGCCATTAACCTTTTGCCTGTATGTCCTTCCTCCTTCCCACTGCTCCTTAGGACACTATACATTTCTTTCTGCTAAAATATTTACTTCTGGGCTTCCCACCACATGGAGTAAAGGGACATATGAAAGCTTAAAATTAGAAATCAAAGGATACCGAGTATCTTCCTGTTCCTGCTGTTCCTTCTCCTCTGACGCTGTGTTCCTAATACAAGAGGTCACTCTACAGACATGTCTGACATGCAATAAAATACCTTTCCTGACTTCAGAGGAAACTTGCCAGAATGTTACCCTGATAAGAACAATTGTATTTTCCCTTATGACTGCAACTGGACAGGGAGATAAAGAAGTGAATCACTTGTGTGTATCCGGCCGAGAAGTTACCTTCCTATAGGTTTCACAGAGAGTTATACAATATTTACAGGTTTTATATGCAAGTCAATTGTTCAATATACCTATTATCATTCTTTCTGTAGAACATGAATCAGGATTTGGAGTGGTGATATTATAAAAAACATATATGGTATTACATATATGTTCAATATTACATAATGCAGTGTCTCCTAGTAGATTTACAAATCCTGCAAACTCCAGCAACTCATTTCAAATCAAGGGCCTGCTGTGGTTCTCTGTGCCATCCTGTACCTAGCAAAATACTATACAACCCATTTAATCCAGGACTCAGAAGGGATAAAAGCAAAGAAGGAATGCATAAGATATGAATAGAGTGGAAGCAGGAAGGGAGAAAAAAGTGGTTCCTACCAATGGTTTGTTCTGTGATTCATGGTGCTCTGGCCTATTCCTACCATTTTATTAAAGAAATGGTTGAGATCATAATGAAGACAGGCTATAATGCAATGATTTTACATTTGCAAGAGATTGAAAAATAGAGCAGGAACTCAGACAGTGACTTCAAGGAGTGCATTTTTATTTATGGCATCTTGGTATATTTCAGAGAAGGATTTTCTTTAAAGGAAGGTGTGAAAAATTCTGAAAAGGAACATTATGGAATGACCTATGTCCAAAAGTGGTTAGACAACAAATTTTTTAACCTGTCCTTTAAAAACCAAGTGAAATAATTTGATAATTTCAGTATTTCTTGAAAATATATGCATGCAATAAGCAACACATTTTTTAAACATTCTTCTTTGTAAAGGATTTTGCAATGTGCAATGTGTAACAGAATTGGATTTTTTTCAAGTCAGGATCTCAATATATACTCCTAAATAAAATGTTATATGGTTGAATCAGGGGTGGTTTTAATTTCCATTGACAAGACAGGTGATAGAAAACCAAAGCAGCAAACTGGGCTTTGGGGATTGGATCTGCGTGCAACAACTCAATACAAGAAGGCACAGTAGTGCGATTTGATGTCACTGTTATGGTTTGCTACAAAATGTTGAGGTCTGCTTTTCCTGAAAGTTTCTCAGTCTTTGAGTGACTAAAAGTAATGTTTTATCTTTCTAAAATAATTACCATTTAGTATTGCACTCCAGAGTATGGATTAAATTACAAGTCCAGTCTGCTGAACAGAAAGGAAGTTGCTGAAGAGAGCAATATAAAATCTGAAACTCTGTGGTACAATAATAGAAGAAAGAGTAATGCTGACAGGTACAGTGCTTTTGCTTGGGCTACAAACAAAGTGAAGCAGCAGCAAAAGAGACAAGAGCTGGTTTTACATGACACATGAGCCTGATTCCAAATGCTTCTTCTTGGTGCTGAGCTTGTAGCTGTGAGAAAATTTTCAATTTCCTATCAGTCTGTAATTTTATGAGAGAAAACTTCTTAGAGCTCCCCAGAAGCTCAAACAAACTACCAGCCCCCTTGGGAGATTGGGTCTGTTTTGTTGGTTTAACACATAGCTCCATTTTAATCAGCCCCATTATTTGACCCACAACTAACATTTTTCACCAGGCCCTAACTTGGCACACACAAGGCGTCTCCCAGGAAAGATGCTACTAATTGATGTCATCCTGCAGGCACTTTGTCTGAACACAGGTCTGGCCCATGTAAATATTTACAAGTAGTATTCCTATTAATGTTAAAAGGAAAGCCTTGTGATCACTTAATAAACCTTCTGAAAGAAGTGATGGGTGGTGAGAGGAAAATAGGTTCCTTTGCCAGATTCCCAGCCATCGTTCTCACATGATTTGACTGCATTCCTGTCCATACCAAACAGTATTGTTGGCTCCCAGGCTTCAACCTATTTAACATATGAAATTTTGTTTCTTTGAAAGTGCTTGCCAGCCTACTCTAATTACATTGTATTAAAACTCCAGGCTAGACGTGGCGTGTTGATGGTATGATATTATAAAGCAGTCAAGTTTTAAAGCCAGAACTGGATGCTGGCAGGAGCTTTTCTGCCTTTTCAGCTCCAGTGATTTTGGATAACTTGTATATTATAAAAGTAATGTTTTGAGTTAAAACTGAGGCAAAGCCTGCTAAAGATAAGCAGAAGCAAAAAAAGGGCAGGTCACTCTGTCCTGTCCTTACTCAAAGACCCAATTCTGAGCCTGTTTTTGTTTCCATTCCAGAAGGAGTGAGTGGAGCACATGATGAAATCCATGTCTTTCTAATTTGCCCTGCAATACTCAAGATGTTGCTGTTGACTACAGCCACTTTGTCAAGGAACCCTGAAAACATTCAGTTAATATACTTGTTGTTTATAGCAAAATAATTATATTGTTAATATAGATTTTTAAGGCTGGTACTTGCACAGGATACAGCTTGATGCTCTCCTGATGAAACCTAAGGATTCAAAAGAGCTTCCAGGATGGCAGCAATATAGCTGATCCATCTTTCCAAAAATATTTATTACTCCTTTGATTTTCCTGCCTCTGTGTTTCATTTCCATATTATATCTTTCGTGCCAAAGGTTTGGTTTGGGGCTTGGGGGGTGATGGTTTGATTTAATAATTCTCATATTTCTATGACATTCAAAATAATACGATCAAGCTCATAGAATCTGTGTCTTCTAAAATTACTTTTAGAAGAAATTTCCCAGAATGTCACTGCAGCGATTGTTCTTGGTAGAATGGATGTCTGTTGCTTTCCTAAATTTCATTCTAGAAAAAACAGGTCTGCCACTGGAGGACACCAAAAGAGGCAAGATTGAATTTCTATAGGTAGTGAGAGACTTCTCTAATGAAGTAAGAGA